CGTATTGCCTATCTTTCTTAGATTTTATTGATCTTTGGTTGCTAGAAAATCAAATAGTCTTCAGGTAAAAAAAAAAAATTCATTTCGACCTTGTTTCAGCTCAAAAAAACACCTTAAACATATACACTTTCTAAAACATATCCATAACTTTCAACAACAAAATATTTGCTCCAAAATCAAAATTATTTTCGGGTTCAAATTTATTATTTCAGGCAAGTTTAATGAAGGAAACACCTTGGATAAAGTCTCCCCATAAAAAATAAAAAACTCATTAACACTAAAATTATTTATTTTCATGGTCGAGATCAGTCTCAATCGAGACTTTCTCTTTACCACTGGAATTCAATAATTTTCTCTTTCCTCACTTAAACTAGAAGCCAAAAAAACAAGGAAAATAAATTTGGGATCAAATTGAATTTCATAACACTACTACAATTTTTAAATTTACCAATAGAATTTTTCTTCGGTATTTGCACTACCATTCCGTTGGTAAACAAATTACTAATGGAAAGTCTCCGTCGATGAATCTTTCATCAATAGTTATTTGTCCATCGATAAGTTCATTGGTAATAAAAGGATATTATTATTGATGGATTTACTAATGGAAAAAGCAAGTAAAAAAATGTTTCATTCCGTTGGTAATTTTCTTGGAAACAAACCGTATGTAATTCCGTTAGTAATTATTTAAAAATATATATTTTATAAAAACATAAAATAATTAAATTAATATTAATCAAAACTATATAATATTCAAAATTCTTGGAAAAAAGAAGAAGAAAATCAACTAAAATTTTTTTGGCAACAAATAAATAACATGAAAAAATAAATTCAACTAAAAAAATTCATATGAAAAAAAATTAAAAATCCTATAAATAAATCAACTAAAAATTAATCTCATATGAAAAAAATAATCCTACAACAACATTCATTCAATTATTAAGAACAAAAATAATTAAAAATAAAATGAAAAACAAATATAATGAAAAAAACATGAAAAAAAATTTTTTTTTACTTAATGTAAATGCAAGTGAAGTTAAGAATAGAAAAAAAACAAATTTGTAAAGTATATTAATTAAAAAAAAAAAACATACCTGAGTATGAAGAAAAAGAGAAAGAGTTGAGGAGATAAGAGAAAAAAAGACGAAGAAGAAGAAAAAAAAGACACATCTAAGCATGGAAGAGAAGAAAAGAAAAAAAGACGTACTTGAGCATGAACGAGAAGAAGAAGAAGAAGACATACCTAAGCATCTGGAGAAGAGAAGGAGTTGAGGAGAGGAGAAAAAAGAAGAAGAAGAAGAAAAGAGACGGGTCTATTGTAAAATTAGGGATTCTAGACTTTTTATTGAGGTGTTTTATCAACGGTTTTACCAATAAATAATTAAATATTAATATTTTTAATCATTTCATCAGTGATTCCGTTTGTAATATTTAATTTAAATTTTGAATTTAATAAAAAAATTTCACAAATCGACAAATATCATCGACGACTTTTCAATCCATCGGTGATTATGTTTGTAATATTTAATTTAAATTTTTCAGAAAACCACCAAATAACACCGATTACTTTTCAATCTGTTAATGATTTTGTTTATAAAAAATAATAATTAACAATGCAATATAAAAATGAATAGCTATAGAGCTCTCTCTAAAATACCATTAATGATTTTCTGGTTGTGTAAATTATTAGGGATTGAAAGTTTATAATTTAAAAAGTTGGAAGATCAAAATATATATTTAGCCTCAAATTTAAAAACACCTTCTCTTTTTACTATATCTTTCATTTTAGTTCCTTATCTTTAAATCCTGTAATTCCCTAATAAATATACTTTAAATGGCTATCAATTTAGGCCTATAAGGGTGTAATTAAAAGGAAAAAAAAAAGACGGATCGGAAAAAAAAAATTGCAATCCACCATGATTTGTCTGTGGATGAACAATGACGTGGAGAATAATATTTTCTACCTTTTAAAGTATTTATTAATATATCCAGAAATTCAAAAGCAAAGGAAATGTGACCGTTGGAAAATAATTTTTGCTTTTGCTTTTCTTTTGAAATGACTAAAAAATAATTATTTTATGTCGTGACACAATTTTATGGGCTTCTCATCGATTGGTGTTCGGCTTTTAAGCCCTCCAGCTTTCGAGCACTGTGACTCAACTTGTCAGTCTTGGCAGTGCTGTCTTTTTTCGTCATGCTAGGAGACCTCCTTTTTGGCTGTTGTAGTGCTGAAATTTTATTTTGATCATCTGTACAAAATCCAGGAAATGTTATTAAAAATACCCAACATCTTATACCAATCAAATATTGCGCACAGGATGCATAGCTGGTTAACAAAAAAATAAAATTTATTGTGTTTTTATTGAGTATTATCTTACAAAATAATATTTTTTTTTATATATTTTAATTTTATTATTCAACATTTAATTTATTGAAGATTAAGATTTATAATTTATTGTGGTTTACTTATGGATATCTCAATCTCATAATCCCTGTTATTAGTTTAGCAGGTTAGTTTCATTGACTTGAGTTTATTTTTTAAGTTATATATTTTTTAATTTCATCATTCAATATTTGATTGATTAAGAATTATATTTCATTATTTGTTTTTAGTTATTTTCTATGAGGCTATCCTAGTTTTATGCCCTGAATAATGGATTTTACAGGTTAATCTGGGTAGACTCGTGTTGTTTTATTATGTCCGATTTTACAGGTTAATCTGGGTAGACTCGGATTGTTTTATTATGTCCTATTTTTCAATTGAATTTTTATTAATTTCATTTTTTACAAATAGATTTATGAAAAATTAAGTTTCATAATTTATTTCAATTTACTTTATATGGAGTTATATTAGTCTCAAGACTCAAGTAGTAAGTTTGGTAAGTTAACTTAGTTTAACTCAAGTTATTTTTTTTGTTTACTTTCTATGAGATTATCCTAGTCTTGTGATTTGGTCATTGATTTGACAGATTAACCTTAATTGATTTATGTTATTTTTTATCCCGCGATTCATTGTAATAAATTCATGTTATTTTAGTAGATTAACTCGAGTTAACTGAAGTTATTTTTTTAATTAATTTTGTTTTTCAATTCATTTTTCAGCACTGAAATGATTAAAAATTAAACTTTATAATTTGTCTTAATTTTTTTTAATGAGGTTATCATAGTTTCATGACCTAGATCATAAATTTAACAGGTTAACTAGAGTTAACTCGAGTTGATTTAATATATTATTGTTTTAATATTTAAATATATAAAAAAGATATTATCTTGAATTTTTACAAGTCAAATTATATTTTTACCTGCTATTTAGATTATTTTTAAACTTGTTAAGTTAATTGGATCATCCTTGTATAGTTTTAAAAAATAATTTTTTAATAAAAAAACATTAATAATGCTTGATTTTTTTTTCTGCATTGAATATAATGGATATGACTCATTAAATGATTTAAAAAAGGGACCACATATTAGTCGAAAAAACTTTATAATTTTATGCGGATACTAATCTTAAGGATTTATACTTAGAGTGTGTTTGGTTTTGCGATAGCTGTTGTGGTTGTGATTTGAAAACTATTATTTTATAAAAAGTACTTTTAGTTGAGATTAGTTTGAAAAAATAGATGTTTGGTTAAAACTGTGGTTGAAATTGAAGTTAAAAAAAAATAATTTAATATGTTTGGTTAAAAATAATTTTAAAATTGAGTTTATAAAATAATTTTAAAAAATATATATTAATATTGATGGTTTTAAATTTAAATATTGTAAAATTAATTACTCATATTATATTATAAAATAAATAATACTTTATATAAAATATTATTTATTATTCTATTAAACTATTTATAATTCCATTACGTACAAAATTCATCCGATAAGGACTATAGGTTCCATAATTTTTTAAGCGTGCAACAAAATCAGGTAAAATATTATTAGAAACAAAATTAGAATTGCGATGAAATTTCACAAATGCTACATCATCATATGATGTTCTTTTAATTTATACAGTGTTATTAAATAATATTAAATATTAATTTTTTGAGTTAAATATAATTTTAAAAAAATTAAATTTTTTTTATCGGGTCAGACACGGTGCAATGAATTTTGCTCACATGAATAATGCAAAAAAATTCACCTAATACTGTTTATGTGAACAGTGCCAAGTGAATGCTTCTTGCATTGCAGGTGAATTATAATTCACTCGGGCACTCTTCACTTCTTTAAGTGAACAGTGCCTAGTTGAATTAATTCACTTAGCATCACCTAGCATGGACACTATTGTGAATAGTATCCAGGTAAATAAAGAAAAACCAATGGAGAGAAGCAGCTCCTGCTTTTGCAAAACCCTGTTTGATGGAAAAAATTATGGGGCCCACTAAATAAAAAAATGCTTTTCTTAGGTTACCATATACTTCATTTACGCGGTTTGCTTTAAAAGCTAAAGCTACTGCGTAAATAAACAACCACATACCTGTTTACTGGGTTTAAATTCACTTAACACTGTTTACGTGAACAGTGCCAAGTGAATGCTTCTTGCATTGCAGGTGAATTATAATTCACTCGGGCACTCTTCACTTTTTCAAGTGAACAGTGCCTAGTTGAATTAATTCACTTAGCATCACCTAGCATGGACACTATTGTGAATAGTGTCCAGGTAAATAAAGAAAAGCAAATGGAGAGAAGCAGCTCCTAGCCTTTTGCAAAACCCATGAAAAAAATTACGGGGCCCGCTAAATAAAAAAATGCTTTTCTTAGGTTACCATACACTTAATTTACGCGGTTTGCTTTAAAATGCTAAAGCTACCGCGTAAACAAACACCCATTTAAAATGTCAAGAAATAAAATAAAATAAATATTTGTGGCTGGGCTTGTAAGATATTCAGTAGATTATGGAATTAGTCATGATACACGTAAGCTGGCCCGAACACCCACGTTAATAAAAATAAAAAAAAACTTCCTTGTCCAAAGGACCCGAACCGAACCCTTTGTCTACGACAAGCTTCGCCCTGTCATCTTTTCAGCGCATTATTCGGTTAACCGTTTTTTCATTTGGTAATATTTCCTTGACTTACGGCAATGAACACTTCCACCTACAGGCTTCCATCAGCTACTAGAAACCCTAACAATTAGCATAACCTTCCTGCCTCTCACAAAAAGCCGCCGCCTTGCGTTTCCCTTTCAATTTTCAACTGCACTGCCATCTGCGTTTCAGCGTTTGTCTCCATCTAAATTCTAGCCAAGCACCAACCCACCTCTCCATCTCCCTTGCTTTTCTTCTCTCTTTACTTCTGCACAAGCCTCCTCTATTCTAGCAAGTTGCAGCAGAAGGAGAGGGCTCCTTTATTAGAGAAAAGACAGGTAAATTTTGTTCCTTTGGATTTCAAGTAATCAGTTGCATACTTCTTTTATTCCGTATTTATTGCTTTAGATTTCAAGCAATCTGTTGCATACTTCTGTATGTAGTGCTTTGGATTTCAAATTGAGATATATGCTAAGAAACTTAAGCTAGTTACCCAAATGCCTATATACACAGAATTTTCATTATTCCCAATAAATGTTGAGCTTGAGTTTGAGGTGTGTCTGGATTAGCAAAATTCTACTGATCATGCATAATAGAGGATTTTCTAGCTGTTCTGGGCTACACAAGCATATGTATAAATAGATTAATTGTTGAGAGACTGTAATGGCCACCAACCATAAAACTGTAATGACAGCCGCTCTAACTCCTCGTGCCCACATACTGAAATCCTGAAGACACCTCTGTTTCGCAGAGTGTCCGTTCTCTGCTGCGGCAGTACTGCACTCCAGCAATACTATTAGTGAGAGACTGCGAGTTAGATGTAAATATACATTTCACCAAAAAATAAAATAAAAAATAAAAAAGCTCATGCTAAATTATTAGTCTTTTGTTTACTGTTTATAAAAAAAATCTGTTTGTATTGCTTTTAATTAGAAGCATATTCCGTATGCATTGCTTCTAATTAATGGAAAAGAAAATGCAATTTGTAATGACCTCATCTTCCTTGTACATGTGTTCTGTCTTTAAAAGATAATCTGCACGCCTGATATTTAATGGGTAGATTTTTATTTTGATAACATTAGTTTCCAAGACAGTTAGCAAAATGTATTGTAGGCTTTTTTCTTGCTTTTGCATCAATTGGCAGAATAGTAGGCATAAATCAAGACAGTTGAATTGCTAACTGTCACCTTTTCATCAATGAGTTAATTAACATCTACATAGCTGAAAATAATTGCCTGATTGATGTTGTTGTTGTTTTCTCAATTGCAGATGGATAATGGGGAAGATCCTACATCAAATGAGTCAACTGATTGTTTGTAAGTAGTATTGGTGGCTTGGTGCAATCTTGGAGTATAATTGTTTTGGGTAATTAATTTACTTTACCTTGTTAATTCCCCTTAAAATTTTGCTTTGTTAATTCTTTGAATAGTTGAACTCTAATATGTTGCTAATTTGCTAGTATTTCTTTATAGCATTATCCTTGCTGGAATTTTTAGATGCTGGTATTGCTGGGTTTTTTCCTTCAAACCATGCCGGATGTTTATGATAATCTATTGCTAGTTGCTAATGTATCTGCTTGTTAATGCTAACTTTTCTAGTGCGAACACATCTTTTAATTTGAGGTGTCCAAATTTGATCATGCATCTTGCATATTGCATACTGCATTGATTTGATTTGGATTTTCATAGCTTTCATCATGTTAAAGATATCAAGATGGGAAGCATTTCAAGTTCATTGTTATTTGTTACTGATATGTATTTAAGGTTAAATCCCAATTTTAAACATCTAGCATTTAAAAGACCTGAATTTAACTTGAAAAAATCTGGTTTCTTGGTTTAAAAAGAAAATTTTAAAGTCCAATTTAATGTAAGCCAATTTTAAAAAATTCAAAAAAAGCCCATATATGATGGGATTAGGTTTCCTGTTTTTTTGGCAAAAAAACCGGATTTAACCGGACCGGTTCGGTTGGACCCAGATTCTGTCCGGTTCGGTTAATATTTGATAAAATTAATATAATTCGGCTTGGTTGGTTTTTTGAGTCTAAACCAAACCAAACTGTGAGCACCCCTAATTAATTAGTCGCTGCCCTAATTTCCTGAGAAGAGCAGCCCGCCACTCATTTCCTTCTTTGTTATCTTTTGCAGAACAATAACAACCAACAGAGAGTTATAATCACAGGTACTCTATCTTCCTTACACTACATACATTTTTCTGTGTTTTTCTTTGTTGAGATTTCTTATTGTATACAATTGCTGCAGATTTTGAATGATTCCCTTGTTTTTCCATGCTTTTTAAGCTCGTCTTGGAATTGGAACAAATAATTGAAAAAAGTATTCATTTGACAGCCATCCTTTAGATCACCACTAATTTGTTTTGGGTCCATAGTTGATTGCCTGTAGGCACGATACAACACTGGAAGAGCTGTTACAACTTACAAGTAAATCAAACTCATTTCATTTAAACATAAAGAAAAAAAAGGAAGATGATTGAAATCTCTGTTAATATTGGAGTGATTATGGATTTACTATTGGTAATGGTTTCTGGGTTTGTACCTTTTTCCTTGTTTTTTCATTGTGGCATCGATGTATTTTGTCTGAACCCTGTTGTGGAAGATGTAGCTGTCTGCATATATCTTGGGGATTCACTTCTAGAATAGGAAGCATATCAAAGATGGAATGCTAAAGTTTCAGAAAGTTCATATTATTCTGTTTCGGTTTGGGAGCTGAATAATGTCTTTGGGAACTGAATAATGTCAACTAGAATCGAATTTCTTTCTATAATTGCACTTTGATGTTAGAAACCGTAACTTTTGAATCTAACCATTGAAACATCACAGTTATGTGGTCTTTTTTGTTTTCCCTAGCATAAAGAAGATAAATTCCTATCAAAAGGTGCTGTTCCTTTGCATTTCAAGGCTCTGACTTTACCATTTCTTGGATCTTTTTTGCAGAGAACTTGTTCATGCATTTATTTATTCTAATCAGACAATCTTTGAATCTGTTTTCAGTCTTCTTTTTTTTACCTTTGCAAACATTAGTATTATCAATTCATTCTGTACGTATTTTCCACAAAATCTTGAGCTGATTTTGTGTTTGTTCACAACTATTTCCTTTCCGATAATTAAGTTGCGAATTTTAAAAGTCATTTTGAAGACAAATGAACCTTTAAATCTATTGATGGTAATTAATTATGCTAATATATATGTTAATGTGATATTTTATGCTAAAATAACCATATTTCTGGCAGCAATATTTCTCAAAGTCCATCCGCCGTGTGCTCCAACTAATCAAAGATCACAGAGGCCCTAATTTCGGTCTAGCAGGTGAGGATTTATACTTTTTAAAACAGCTTTTCTTGTGGAAGGCAAAATGCAGAGAAATCTTTAAATTAAAAGTGGGAGAAGTATTTCCAAACCTATGACTATATTCCAAAAAATTTGTGCGCAGTTTGTCCTTGAGTGGTGATCACATAATTGAGAGGCCCTAACCTTCAACTTTGTTGAAAAACTTCGTAGAAAATAGAAAAATGCTACTCATATTTTCTGGCAATCAAGACATTGAGGACCTATATACATGGGAAATCTACTTTAACATTGTCCTAAATCGTTCCAATTTTATTACTTTTCTCTGACCATGCCGCACATTTTGATCAATAGACCATATGTTTATACTTCATCTGTATGTATCTCGTGCTATGTGAAAATATGCTTTAGATTGTCAACTTGAAAATTAATGAAATCGAAGTGAGAAATACCAAATAGACATCCATTGCAATCAAGACTCCTTTTCATCGGATTCATCAATTCCTTGTATCACGACATCAGTTTCTGGGTCCGGACCACATATAGTGAACTTGGAATTTAATATGGGTTAATAACTAATAAGAAAAAAAAGTGACAGATTTGAGGGAAAAATTTTTCATTACCTTTTATTTTTTTCCATATAGCTATAAAAAATATGTGAATTTGTTAATAAAAATATAATGAGTCTTTACCGGATTTCATCGGGCAATTACAAACCCAAGTTTTATCTACTTTAAACCCAGTTAGGGTCATGAGTCAGCCAGTTTTGGGTTAACTCGTTGGTCCAGACCAATAACTATGATGCTAGTTATATTTGTATTGTTTGTCTTTTTGCAATTTAGTTTCATCAAAATTTTAATATAAGGTTGTTAAAATTACGAGGTAACTTAATAATTTTAAAAATTAATTTGTATTTAACATCTAAAATCAGATAAAAAAATCAAAAACTAATGAAATTATACTGTAAACTTCATATAATCATGCAAACCCATGGATTTACATCAGTTTTATTTTATGAGTTTTAATGGAATAGAAATACTAGCTTATTTAACTCCGCTTCCTCCCAAATTAAACCAAAAAAACCCCAGCGCACTTCCCTCTCTCAAATCACCTCAGACCCATCTCTCTCTCGCTCTTTCTGTGGTGTCATTGGATCAAAAACTTGGTAGTCTAAGGGTTGGTGCTGGTAATTTGGTATGCAATTTTTTCTTTTGTTTATGTGGTTTCTAGATTGCCTTTTGTTTCTGTTCGTGTTTTGCTCGTGTTTTTTATTCACTTGACAGCCTTTGTTTTTTGTACTCTCCTGTCATTTGGCCTCCTGTTTTATTTTCTTTTAAGCCAGCATTTTCACATTCGTGGCCCAGGACTTCATTGCGCAGGTTAAATTTGGGTATATAAACTATTTTTCCTTGAATTTTTATCTCGGGTGAACCTCTATCTTCGTCTTACGATTTTGTTCTTCCTTTTGTTTTTTATTTTTCTTGCTTTCATTGCCTTCGTTGCTGGTGTGGGTTTTGATTATGTTATTTGCGTTTTCTGGTCACCTTTTCTTCTACTTTGAGCCTCCACTCGTTCTCATCTTTTCTTCTATTTGCTGGACTGTGCAGGAGTTTTCTGAGGTTCTTGGTTTTGTTTCTGTGGTGTCTGAGAGAGAGTTCTCCAGCTGTGGTTTGCTCTCTGCTTGATTGGTGTCGTCACAAGGTTTGTTTTCTTTCTTTCTCTGGCTGCCCTCTTAGTGTTTGCTTTTTTCCCTCTGAGATTTTGCTGGAATGCTAAATTGCTAAACTCTGTAAAATGGAGGTACAAAACAGTTCATGGTTTATTCTTGACCACCCTTTCCTTTTCTTAATTAACACTTTGATTTTGTTACAGTTAGGGTGTGTTTGGGAATGCACAGCCGGTTCCCTCCATTTTTGAAATTCCTTTTTATTTAAAATAGGTTATAGAAAAAAAATTCAACATGTTTTGATTGAGTTTTTCTCGAGCTAACCGAATTATGAAATAACCTAAATTTTTAATTGAGTCAACTTGTTAAATATAATCGATTTTTAAAACCGTACTTGATACCAATTCATCATCCAAATATATTAATCCCACAAGTTAAAGGGTGAATATATTAAGAATTTGAAATCCAAAATTATTAAATTATACGACCTTTAACTACTACTAAGTGCCAATAATTAACTTCTTAAACAGTACTTAAGACTCATCTTCTGATCCTTTCCCTATTTTTTGAAAAACTTCTACTAGTGGATTATTATTACAGTAGCCACAAAATAATTTAAGCCCAGTCCAATTGAATATGTATTGGGCTCGACCGGCCCATAAGGCCTAATTAAATACAAAGTCCATTTGATTTAGTTATACTCTGGAGTCGTGTTAGTTTGTTTTGATGACATATGCGCCTGCTTCTCCTCTTCTCTCTCTCTCTTCTTAATGTTCTCTTCAGTCTTCACCCCTCGGTAGAGTTTGAATTGGCGGCACGTGGTGTGAGTTATTTGCTCGTGTTTAAAGACCCTTGATTTACTGTATCTCATCTAGGAAATATTTTCATTTCTTCGTCAGAGGTACTGTAGTTACTCTGTTTTGTTAAACCCTAAATCATCTTAAAGTTGTTCTCTTTTATGATGTTTATGTCTCGCATTATGGTTTATGTATAAAGTTCAAGTGGTTTAGTATTACATCTAGTTTTGAATGCTAGCTGTTGATTTGTAGATTATAAACAATACCCTTTAAATGGTTCTCTTTATATATCATTACTTGGACGGTTTTCTGAGTGTGGATGTTGAATAATCTATTACAGATTGAATCTATGTTTTTGAAGAAATTATGGCATGCTTGTCAACATTTCAAGTTTTGAGTTTTTCAAGTGCTAGTGTAGCTATTGGATATCATACTGAATTAGGCATTGGAAAAATGATCCCTTTGTTTGATTTTGGATTTCATTTTGAAAGTTCTAGAATCCTTCTTGCTAGATTGCGTATTGGTATGTATTTTCAATTTATTTTGGCTGGATGCTGTTAATGTCGACAAAATGTGGTGGTTTTTTATTTTTTTTGTAGTCTATAATTGAAATGGCATTTTGTAACAAATTTGGGAGCTTGGTGAGGCAGAGCATATTCCAAAATGGGCAAGTCCCAGTGGGTCCTATGCTGAACTCAATTCGCTGCATGCCATCAACAAACCTTTTTATTCGAGGTGTTGGTCAATGGCTGTTGTTTTGAATGTTATATGTTGATGTGTGTTATGCATTTGTGCTTTGCTATTGATTTTGTTATTTGTGTTTTAGGTTTTGCATCTGGAGTGCCTTTTATTGATGCGTGCTTGTTTCGTCTGAAGCAAAAGAAAGAGAGTCTTTCAAACAAAAAAATCTGGACACGCAGATCAACTATTTTACCAGAATACATTAATAATTATGTACGAATTTACAATGGAAAAACTTTTGTTCGTGTTAAGATCACTGAAGGGAAGGTTGGCCATAAATTTGGAGAGTTTGCTTTTACACGAAAAGGAAGAGTTAAGACAACTCTTGTGAAAGGAAGAGGTAAGACAAAGAAGTAGGATGTCTTGCATATCCATAAAAGCGCTCATGAAGGCACCTTTACAGGCATTTAAAAGACCTAGCATCAACACATTTGCGGTAGACAACTTTGCTCCAAAAAATAAGGTGCATTTGTGTTTTTGATAAAATGGTTGGTGGTATGTTTTAGCACTTGTAGTTGAATAAGTGATAAAATGTTTTTACAAGTTGTACTTTTATTAAATTCCATAACCGAAGAAAATGAGTCCCAAGTTTTTCCTCTGGGTTGTCTACTGTAAAATGATGCTAGCTAACTGATGGGTTAGATTACTTTTGCAATCGATACAATATCTTTCAAATTATTCTCTAGTACTTGGATTCGTTTTTGTTGAATTTGGTGGCTAATTGGCTATTCAGGTGCTTCATGCATTTTATAATTTATAATTTATATTAATTTATTTTTTATGATATAATCATAGCATCATAATCTAGCATAATAGATTGATCTGAATCATCTAATATATTATCATTTTAAATATTTATTTTAAATTATATTATATTTTATTAGTTGGTCCAGTTGTTTTTGGATCCTGCCAAGGTAATCATGCCACATAGTTTAAAAATATTTCTACTACAAAAAACATTAATAATACTTAAATATTTTTTTATATTAAAAAACCTTTTTAATCCATCTAAAGTAGCATGTGTCAATGAACACTGTTATGTGGAATCGGGGCAATTTTACCCTTGGCTAAAAAAAAATTTGAGGGGTGGAATTGTTTTTTTACCATTATTTAATTCTTTATGTGAAGTTAAATTACTTAATTACTCCTGCTTCAAAATTATCTTCCAGGAGTGCATTGGTTTTTTTATCATCTTTTTTTTTTAAAATGTCAAGTTAATTTAGGCATTTTTGTATTTTAATAAATATTTAATATAATTTTTTTTATATTATTGACACATGAAGGGACATCTAGTTAGTAAATGCCATCTTTTGTGATGATATTTCAAAGGTATCAGCATCCTCTCCATGATAGAAGGACTGACGTGTGCATCAAATGCACCTTTGATTTGGCCCAAACAAGTGTCTTTACAATATTATTTATACTTAAACAAACACCTCTAGTGAACCTAATAGACTATCATCAATCCATAATAATAAAAAAAGCCTGAATCTTCTTAAATGAAGCCTAAGACATTAAAATAAAATAAAAATAATAATTCTAAATTGAAACTCTAATTGTTATCCATGATAAACTAGGGTATAATAAAATCCTTGCTTGAAAAGAAATTTTGATCAATTAGATGTGTTGTTGTCCCTTGTTATTTCAATTAAATAAGAAAACTTCTTTAATCAATTTTTCTTCAAGGGTGCCACAAGCCTTTCTAAAGAAAAGCCCATGATTTTGAATTTAAATCTAGAAAGTTTTTTATCCTAGAATTAAAATTTATAATTAAATAAATTATAAATTTATAATTAATCAAATAAGAAAGTCTTTTGATCCAGCCTTGTTTGCACTTGGAATTAAATTAATTAAAGTTGATCTTCACTTATTAATGTTATTTTTTAAAAAATCTATCTTGATCTAAATATTGAGAACATGCTTATTGAATATATCTTTAATCTCATTTGTTTTTTATCTTATAATTTACCCAATTAAAATTTATAATATATCCTTTAATATAATTGTCATTGTACTATATTTTTTTTGGAATTCAAGAAAATTTTACTTTTTAAAAAGTGTATTTTATAAATATAGATGAGTGAGTAAAATCTCCATTGTCTTAGATTTTTATTACATGTGCACATCTTGATTCAAACTCAGTACCTACCATACAAATCTCAAACTCTTTATCACGGGAAATCATCATACTACATCACTTCAGCTTCTCATCCTTACAAAGGCTTTCGTTGAATTGCTGGGAAACCATAGTCATGTTGCTGATATTCCGATGCCAGAATCATGCATCTGTTTTTAGCCTCTCTTTTTATAGTCTTTTATGTTTTGATTTATTTTATATTAGAAGTTATGTTATGTTTAACTTTTATCTTTATAAATATTTCATGCAAATATAATTTATTTATATAACGTATTAAAAAATAATTTAAAGATAAATCACAATAACTCTTTGAAGCAACTTGAAATTAAACAAATAACTATTATTTAAAAATGGTGAACTAAACAAATTTAAAAGAGTTATAATTAAAATGGAAATAAAATATTAATGTCAAGCAAAAATAAATAAATAAGAGCACGGTGTTAATTAAAATTAAATAAATAATTATTTTAAAAAAGAAATAATTGGACACTGACAAGGCAAAAACCTATTTTAAAAAAGCATATTACATTGCCTAAACAACATCCTATAAATCCTTACAAACCTGTTTTTAACCCTAAAATAACCTAAAATCTCTATAAAAAAAATTAAAATAAACAAATTAAAATATTATTAATAGTGATTTTTTTTTTTTTTAACTTGGTTAAAGGATAACCTCATCTTTGTCGGACCCCCCTATTAAAGAGAACCCCACTAACACTTTTTTGTTAGCCAAAATATTATCATTCGATCACTTTCTCTCTTTTTAATATTTTTTTTAATGATTTTATTTTTTATTTCTTAATATTTAGGGACTGAAACAGAAAATAAATAAAGTTTGGAATTGCAACGTGAA